GTGACCTCCTCCTCCTCCTCCTCCTCCTCCTGGGCCACACATTGGAGGGCAGCATCTACCCGCTCTGGGCCTCTGCCAAATCTTCTTTTCACTTCTTCGCCTCAAGCGTCTATAGGCACACTGGGCGGGGGCCCGGGATGCACTCTGGATCCCTGCGTGACTCATGAGCGTGCCTGGGGACGTCAGGGGGGGGGGGACTGGACTCTGGAACAACGTCCTCCGCAACTCTGCTGCTACACCTAGAGGACGGACAGCTGTACAAGGAGAAACTTTCGGAGCTCCGCGAGGAATTTTCTCATGGATCGGCGCTGGGCACCCCCCCCCCTTGCGCGCGGAGCGCGCCAGAGGCGGCACCAGAAGCCCCGCCAGGAGTTTCCAACGCAGATCCACCAAGAAATCCGCGCAGAACTCCAAAACTTTGATATACCCTGAACGCCGCGACAACGACGGCGAAACGGCGACAGGATCATGCTTGCCAGCTCGGCGATCCGAGGGGCCTCAGTGCCCGAAGCGAGCTGCTGCCTTCGTCCGCCCGTCCGAAATCTGTGGACGTTCGAAGGTCTGGGCGGGTTTCTTGGGTCTGCGCTGGACCCCTCTGGCCGCGGCCTCAATCTGAGGAAGAAAAGCAGCAACAGACGCCTAAACTCTCGAGAAACCATGCAGATTTCTGGGATTTGCGCTGGGCGCCCCTGGCAGAGCCGCTTCCTGCAGGGCAGCGGCAGGGGGAGACCGGCGCAGGGGGGGGGGAAGCATCGATCTGGAATCGACGAGGCGTCTCCGATAGATCGGCGATGGCCCCCGAGATAGCAAGACCACGCGTTCCTGGGCGGGGCGCGCTATCAGGCCCCCATCTGCGATTGGGGGTCGGTGCATCCCCCCTCTGAGCCTATCCCCACTAACGTTAAGTCGGGCCTGTCCCCCTACAGGGGGATTTTCGACGAAAAATAAAAAATACACCCAAAATAATAAAAAGTAGCCCAAAACTAATCAGGGGACTATTTTTTAGTATTTTTGACCTTCTTGGGATACTTCTGGGGTATTTTCAATTTTTCGTCGAAAATCCCCCTTCATGGGGGACACGCCCGACATAACACTAACGTTGCCCCCTGGGTTTTGGGTCACAGCTCGGCTCTTCGGCAGCCGTGCGGGATGACGTGGGCCCCCCCAGAGGCCCCTCGACGAGGCGCAGGTGCTGGAGAGCACTCCGAGGCTGGACGCCCGCCGAGGACCGACGAAAACACCCGAAAACCTCGAACCTCGACCCCCCCCTCTGAGCCGCCGCCACCACTGCTTACTTCCCCGCTTCACACTGCGAAGTTTACTCCGCGAGCGCGGCACAAAATCATGGTGTACCTCCAGCAAGACTTTGCTAAACTGCACGCTGGCAACTGCCTGGCAGTCCGATCCTGCTGCAACGCCTTTATCGGAAACGGCAGCAATGCAGCCACTTATCGTGGGTGGGGCCAACTGAGGGTTGCCGACCCCCGGCAGTAATCAGCAAAGAATTACTCCGCCGCCGCCGCCGCCGTCCCAAGGACAGAGCGAGCTGGGGGGACGCGCAAAAAATCGATTGCCAGCCACGAGTTAGAGGGGGGGCTCTGGCAGCATTGAACACTTCCCGCGGTCGACGTTGCCCCTGGTTTTCAGTCGGGCCTGTCCTCCTACAGATTTTTTTTTTTTTTAACGAAAACTAAAACATAGTAGCAAACATGCCCTCAAATTGTGAAAAAATGCTAAATCAAATCGTCCCCAGAGTACTTTTTGACTATTTTGGAAGATTCCTCCTGTACAGGGACAGCCCTGGCTCCTGATCTGCCGTACTTTGGATGATTTTCCGACCTAAAATTGTATCGGAAATCGACGCCAAAGGAGCCTCAAGGGCGGAAATCGACGCTCAAAGGGGCCTCAAAAGTAGGGCGGAAATTTCCGCCCTACTTTCGAAATCGCCCAAAGTAGGGCGGATCAGGAGTCAGGGAGGCCCGACTTAACCCTGGCTTTTACTACCCCCCCTCGGGTCCTGGATGCCCTGCGCGGCGCCGGCCAGCCACTCCGAAGGGGTCGACAGGAGGGCGGCGTCGACGCGGCCAGCACGTCGCCGGGCGTCGCGCCCGGGGCGCTCAGGGCCGGCGCCGTGAGGCAGAGGCTCCTTTCGGGGGGCGCGGGCAGTGCGAGAGCGTGCAGGCGCCAGGGAGGGGGGGGCGTCCACGAGGGGGGGGGGCGTCCGAGAGGAGTGTGAGCGTGTGTGTGTGTGTGAGTGTGTGTGCGTGTGTGTGTGTGTGTGTGCGAGTGTGTGCGTGTGTGTGTGTGTGTGTGTGTGTGCGAGTGTGTGCGTGTGTGTGAGTGTGTGGGGTCGGGCAGGGGAGTCCGAGAGGGGGGCCGTGCAGAGGAGGGGATGCCCAGGAGGGTGGCGTTCACGCGGGGGGGCGGCCCAGCGGGGGCCGCCCCTCGGGGGGCGCCGGGCAGCGGAGGCGTCCGAGGTGGGTGCGTGAGGCGCGAGCCGGAAGCCAACAGCACAGCAATGTCGTCTGGATTGCCTGGCTTCGGGACCTGGCACGCTCCCGACGGGCTGGGGCTGGCGCATCGTTTATGTCGAAAACGCCTACGGCGAACCACCACCGACCCCTGCCTTTCGGAAGCGCCCATGCGGCCAGACGTTAGGCCGAAACCTTGCTAAGATATTAGGCTGTGTGTTCCCTCAGCCGCTGTGGAAAGCCTTGGGGAAACACTTGTGGGACGAAGAAAGAGAGAGAGAGAGAGAGAGAGAGAGAGAGATAGAGAGAGAACAAAAAAAGAGAAAGAGAGAAAGAGAGAGAGAGAGAGAAGAGGAAAGCTAGGTGCGCTCGCGCCACCTCTGACATCCTATCCTTCCCTCCCGTCCCTTCCCATTGCGCTGATTTTTTCTCTATCCGCGGACGCATGTCACAGCCTGGCCTGTGGAACCTGTGGGCAGGTGGGAGCTGTGGGACTTCTGCGATCTGTGGGACCTGTGGAAAATGTTGGACTTCGGTGCCCTGTGGTTGCGAGACCTGTGGGGCAGGTGGAAAATGTAGACCTGTGGAACCCGTGGGACCTGTGGGACTGGTGGGACCTGTGCGACCTGGGGGATCTATGTGGCCTGTGGGGCCTGTGAAACCTGTGGCATCTGCGGCACCTGTGGGACCTGTGGAAGCTGTGGGAGCTGTGGGAACTGCGGGACCTGTGAGACCTGCGAGACCTGCGAGACCTGCGGGACCTGTGGCACCCGCGGGACCTGTGGGACCTGGGGGGCCTCTTGTGAGACTTGTGAGGCCTGCGACACCTGACGGACTTGTGGGATCTGCGGGACCTGTTGGACCTGTGGGACCTGTGAGACCTGCGACGCCTGGATCCAGGAAAGTGGCCCACGTTGGGGCGAGACGGCCATTCTGAACGACGGGGGCAAATCACCAATCCGAAAATGAGGCACATGCTGCAGCGAGAACACCGTTTTGTCAACCAGAAAACGTCGAATGGTAAACAAACAAATGAAAACAACACCGTTGACCTGCACACCAGGGCTGTAGAACCGACAGCGTAGGCAGACGAGCATATGCGAATCGACACCGCGGGCTGATGGAATTGAGACACCATGGCCCAATGTGGATGGGGATCATTTAGGCGATGCTGGTACTGGGGCCTCGAGGACGGCCTTCGGCGCAGCGCTTGTGGCAAGTACCGCAACCCCGCATGGCCCCAGAAACAACAACTCGAACAGGTTGGCAGCGGGCGCGGGCGCAGCTTTGCTCTGGCCTGGCGCGCAGCACCATACAATTGTACATATTACTGCTCGGTCGGCGTATGCCCATTCCGAGGACTGAGGCGGCAGGTTGAATATATACCCTGGGACCGCGCGTCTGATGGTGTGCAACAACAGACATGCCGATGTTCTTGTTGAGTGGGCGCGGGCCCGTTCCGAATACTCGGGCGGCTGGCAGAAGCTGGAGTCCTTCCTGCACCCCAGAGCATCAACGCACATGGCGCGCAACGTTTTCCCTGCACAACTGGGCTGCAAATACAAAACCGTAAACAATTCGCAGAACCGTGGTCACCAGGCATGCCGGGAGACCACCGCGTACCTTACGTCTCGCGCGCGAAGCAGGGAACATCCTCGTTCAACCATCGTGCCACAATGACTCCAGGACCTCGCATCTGACTCGAAACACGCCTCATGCACGTCAGTACGTAATTGAGAGCGTCGTGGACGACCTTGGGCGCAATGCTTCTGGCAAGTAGTACAGCCCCCGCATTGCCCCAAGCACACAATAACAACTCAAACCGTGTGGCTGCGGGGCAAGCGCAGAATCCTCTGGCCAGGCGCGCAGCAGCGCAATTGAGACTTTCCTGTCGAGTTGGCGTGTGGCCAATCCCGGTGCTGGGAGCCCGAGAGACAACAAACACAAGCCAAGGAAACCTGCCGAAGGCGAACGAGAAGTGACCAGTGCACACAGCTACGACTGAGAGATCCTGAACAGCTGCTTTCCCTGAGCGAGTCAAGATCAACCTGCCAATGCAAAACTGTTCACACATCCGCTCGCATGAGGGTTGCCATGCACATTGGCGAAATGTCTGTGGCACACGTGAAAAAACAGCTTGGAGGCCTCTTGAGCGGTCTCAGGGCAGCTTCGGAAGGGTCACGGGCCCCTCTGACCGCTGACGGCTATGGGGAAGCCTGTAACAGCGGGAAAGGGAACCTCCGGGGCTGTCTCTGGACTGTTTCGGAGCTCTCTTGGGCCGCCTAAGGGCCACACTGAGGCTTCATAGGCCCATCGGGAGCGAAGGAGCGGGAAGGCGAACATCATTGAATAACCATTGCTTTTTGCACGATTAAGGCCACTTGGAGGAGTCCTCGGGAATGAAGGGCCGTCCTGGGGCATCTCGGGCTGATTTGGCCATCTTGGCGGCTTCAATGCTCCGTCCTTGCCCCCTGAAGCTAAACAAAAAGCACCCGCGGGAAACTCACAGTTCCCCTTGCCATGCCGCGCTACGTACTTCTGAGCGCACGGCCCAGTGCTTCTCCGTGCACGGTCCAACCCAAAACAGCTCAAAGTGTCTGCTTCGCGACATCGCCAAACACTCAACGATTGGATCTATGCCTGTGCCTGGGCTGAGATATAAAGCATCCTCAACGTCCGAACTCATCCCCCAATTCGGATTTGTCCCAAAGGGTCTCATTTACATGGGGACACTGTCAAGACAACTCAACGTGCCGATACAATCAACTGTGAAAATAGCACACCTCCTCGCTGTGAGACGCGTGAAACTGCGCTACTGCAACCGCCGCAAGTGCATATTCGGCGCAGCGAGTATGTACTCATGTTTTTAAACAGAAGTGCTGGCAATATGCTGAAAGCGTCGCTCAGCTTGTGAAGATGCAAGTCCGGCTGCACTCATGTCTGCGGTATTGAAACATGTGGATTCCACTGAAGGGTTAATCGCTGCTGCAACCGCCGAAGGTGCATATTCGGCGCAACGAATACCTACATACGTTCTACACATGTCATGTTGGTAATATGTTCAAGGTGTCACGGAGCTTGTGCAGATACACATCTGGCTGAACTCGTCTGCGGTATTTGAAAAACGTGGAATCCATTTAAGAGTGATTCGTTTCCGTCGCCCTAGATTCGTGATAGTCTGGTGGCCGTCGCTTCGTAATCGAACTGCGCCTCCTAACATCGAACAGCATCGTGCCTGAAGTGAAGATCACCGTTGATGGAATATTTGGCGCACGCGAACAGCTAGAATGAGCCTGGCCAAGCCAAATAACTCGCGCACTACATCATTCGTCTTGGCTCAGACCGAAATAATTGAATTTCATCAAGCGGAGCGTGCGCGTATGCTTGCGTCGCGCGCATGCATCAAGCGGGTCGCCAAATGTACCGACTACAACCTCGTCACGACAACTGGGGGTCACGATCTCCAACCACCATCGCACATGATTTCGATCCGGTGGCTTTACGCGTATGCCGTTTGCGTGCTTAACTCAAGCTTCCGTGAATATCAGAACTGTCTGCGGAGTCTGGCCGAACGGCTGCGCTTTTGGTGCACTGCAGAACGGGGACGACCCGATCATCGAACCAGCAGTCCATTGAGTAGGTGAAGAGGGGCTGCCACTCCTTGACCTCGGTGATACTACCTCGTGTATTGGCACGCATGTGTCACTGCTGGCGATTTTCTGGGAGGTCATCCGCCACTGCCACGGGTCCGCGAACTCAAGCGCTTCAGGCAGGTCGACCAAGCGCAAGTCCCTTGCCAGGTTGAGAAATGGCGCCACCTCCTCCTCCCAAGTGCATGCTGCGAGATGCGCTTCTGCACAGTGCCCGGACGATCAGCGCGATGGCACTGCACCGCGCCAGCGCCTCGAAATTGGCCTCGGAGGTGTAGTGCTGCGCACCCTTCTGGTTGAGCAGCGTGCGGTCGGGCTCGCGGGAGCACTTGCAGTTGTTTATTATTGTTGGTTTCCTGATGGCTTCGATGTGCAGCTGGCGGGGGGCTCGGGCGCAAGAGTGTCTCCATGCAGATCGCGATGTTCTCTAAAGGGTGGCGCACAAAGGACGCAGCCCACCCGTGCACGCACCACAGTCGCTGGAAGTACTCCCAGGTAAGGAGCGCGACCATCCCGTCGCAGCGGTCCAGGAACTCCTCGATCATTGAGATGCAGAAGCCCTTGAGCGAGTGCTGCTGGGGGATGCAACACTTGTCGATCCAAAAGATTACGTTTTCGAGATTGCAGCCTGAGTCCGCTACGATCTCTGTGGCAGCCAACTGCAGCTCTGTAGACTTCATGGCGGAATAACTACACTTGGAGCTCGTGACATCCTGCCAGTTCGCGGGCTCGAACCAAGAATGTGATGCGAAGCGCGTTGCACGTTGAGCTGGTGATGCCAACTGGAAAGGACACATGTCCCCGTCGCTTGTGCGCCAAAACTCCTCAGCGTGCGCCAGGCAGCCGTCGTCCTCCCACCTGGCGCTCACACGTTGGGAGGAAACTGCCCTCATCAGCAAGTCCGCAGTCTGCGACAAAGACCTTGGCCTTGCACTCGAGCTCGTCCAGCTGGGAAACTGACGCGCGGGAGGCAGCTGAGTCGGGCGAGCAGTCCGGGAATGGATCTGGGCAGCTGGCTTCGCGTACAACCGCGGGGTGCCCGGCGGCCCCTCGGGCCAGAGCGCCGCGCTGGTCGGCAACATCCGGCGGCTCCTCTGCCGCGCCGTTCAGTCTGCCAAGCTCGACGCGCCACGTGGCCGAGAGTCCGGGGAAGAGGCTCGGCGTCGAGCTGCGTGCCGATGGCCTGTCGGTGGAGGAGCCTGGCCGCCGCGTGTAGCTTCCCCTCCACGGATGCGACGAGGGCAGCGCCGCGGGCGGACGCGCAGGAGAGCCGACAACCGTCCTCTTCCGCGTCGCTGACGTGGGGGGAGGGGCACCTCGACCCGTAAATGCTTGCGTTCCAAGTGGCTGCGCATGCGGTCCATGTTCTGCAGGAGCTCCTAAAATGCTGTCCCCCTCGCTCTCCGGTACGCGCAGGTGGCCTCCAGCACGGATGTGCGCGATGAAGTGGGCACCGAATGCTTGCAAAGCGTCGACCCATGTGTTCGCGAGCACCTTGACCACAGCGTTAACCGCGGCCACAGATGTGGCGTCGTTTTTTGTATCTTTCCCACCGCGACAGCGATCAATGGAAAAGTTGCATGCTTGAAGTGACCCACATGTTGGCGGACTACCATGGATGCGAAGATTGTGGCGCCAGCGGAAAACCTGTCGATCTCTGCTCTGCCTAGTGGGTCTTCGAATTTCCTTCTGGCGCCATGTTGACTGCGGTGCTCGTGGCGCGCAGCTTCTCAAACGTCGTCATACTGTTTGAGATCTAGAATCGCAGCGTCGTCCGTGAGGTGCAGATCCTGCTGGACCGACCTCCAGGCGCCCTCGCCGCATCGGCTTGCAACCAAATCCTCGAGAACGACGCGGGGAAGCCCATGCATTGAGCTGCCAACGGGAAGCCCTGAACCGCCAAGATGCTCAATATGTATAGCTTGCTGCGCTTGCTTCGAGGTGGCTTGACACTTCTCGTCAGCGGCGAGGCGGCGAAATTCGCACCAGCGTGAAGCTAGATTGGAGCACGAACTAGCGAATTGGCCGGCGAGCAAAGAGGGAAGGGGGACTTGAACACAAGCTTGAGCCAAAATGGCTACGGACAAATGAAAAACAACTAATGAAATCGTGTGTGTGTGTGAAAGAAATCAACGCGCGGAGAGGGCGGAGCCACGCCTCGGACAACTTCAAGAGAGAGAGAGAGAGTTGGAGGAGGATGAGGAGAAGGAGAAGGAAGAGGAGAAGGAGGAAGAGGAGGAGGACAAGGAGGAGGAGGAGGAGGAACCGAGGCCTCTTGGGGCCTCCTGGGGGCCTCTGTGGTGCCTCCTGAAGGCCTCTTGGAGCTTCTTGTGGGTTGCTGGGGGTCTGTAAGCTCCAAGGGGCCTCTAGGCCCTCGGAGGCCGTCTTGGGAGTCCCTCTGGGCCATCGTGGGGATCTCTGTGGGCGTCTTGAAAGAAGAGGAAGGTACCATCAAATCCCGGGAGCTTAGCTGCCCCGGTACGCAGCACGCAACACGCACCGTATTGACACGGAGCTCAACACGTAGACTGACAACGTAGGTCTGGCGCGATACTTTCGCCGAACCGTGGGCCAACACGTGCGGAACCCACACGCAGCGAGTCAACATGGACGCTTCGAACATTGCACTTGTTGCGTTCCATCACGGGCATGTCAGCGCAGCTCAGCCGGGGAGATTTCATGGCCGCGGCCATGATCTCCCCCCCCCCCGCCCGCAGCCATCGCCGCTTCTTGGACGCCCCCCGCGGCCGTGCCGGGGGTGGGACTGCAGCAGGGGGGCGGCCGCTCTTCCTCTGGCCCACTGAAGCGTTGTCGCCGCACCCCGATAGCCGCCCTCTCGTTACCTCCCCCCCCCCCCTTGCCTCGCGTTTTGCCTGCACCCGCCCCTCCTTTCGTATCCTGCTCTTCCTCCTCGCCCTCGCCCTCCTCCCCTCTCTCCGCGACAGCTTCCCCCCACGGGGATGGAGGCCCCATGGGCGGCGTCGATGGGCCGATGCATGTGCGCAGACGAGGGGGGAGCCAGAGGATGCATAACAAGAGCAGTCAAACTAATGCGAATCATAATCGCATTCAGACTATTAATACTGTTTTAAACGAGAAGAATGATAACTAGGGCAATACCACACATAGGAATAATACGATTACGACTACGACTAACATTACGACTAAGAGAATAATAATACAATTAATGCTAATACTAGTCATACAAAGAAGGATGCTGAGGGTACGACTAATAAGAACATAAGTACTTATGCAACGAAGAAGGGAAGGTGGCCACGATATCTGGGGGGACATCATGGCCCTGGCCAGGACTTCCACCCACCCTCTAATCTTAGGTCTGGCATGTCCCCCTACAGGGGAATTTTGCACGACAAATAAAAGATGGCAGGAAAAGGCTAAACAATAAGCGAAAATAGTGGACAAATCGACCCACAACTATTTTTGGATTATTTTTGAATATTCCCCCTGTAGAGGGACAAGCCCAACTTAATTCCAATCATCTTGGACGCCCCTGGGCCACTCCTGGGTGACCATGAGCGCACCGACATCGCTGCTCTACGGACCCCTCCTGGGGTGCGCCCTCACCAAGGCTCCGAGGCGCATTCCGCCGTCGTGGCGAGTGACGGTTGGGCCCCAGCAGGCCCCATGGAAGTCGTGGCGCCGCCGCCGCCGTCGTCTCCGTCGTCGTCTTCGTCGTCGTCTTCGTCGTCGTCGTCTTCGTCGTAACCGTCGTCGTTGTCGTCGTCGTCGTCGTCGTCGTCGTCGTCGTCGTCTTCGTCGTAACCGTCGTCGTCGTCGTCGTCGTCGTCGTCGTCGTCGTCGGTTCCTCGTCTGAATTCGGACCTCCCTGAGATCCAACAGGCGCGGGGCGCCCACCGCCGGCGGCGCAGCGGCGTTCAACACCGAGCCCCTGGCCTGGGCGAACGCCTGGCACGGGCACGCCAGGACCCACGCGGCCAGCGCCAGGCGGCACGCTGCGCCCGCGGGCCGGCCCGCGCGGGGCGCGCCGGTCGGCGAAGAAGCGCTCATGCCGGAGTGGCCACGGAAGAGGAATGCTCGGGGGTGGGCAGAATCCAACCAGCCCTTCAGGGCGTGAGTGGTTTAGATAGGCCTCTCTGTTCTCAACCCCCTTCTTCCCCTTCGGGGAGGGGTTTACCCCTTCGGGGAAGGGTCTTCCCCTCCCCTTCGGGTGGGCAGAGTTTCCTTCCGTAAAACGCGGTTTGGTGAAGACGGCCTCGGGCCCAGGCCCGGCGGGCGCAGGCCTGGAAACTGGACGGCCGCGGCTCCCTCTCGAGAGCCGAGAATGGACGAGTCACACGAATCGACGTGTGAGGGTGTGGGCTCTGTAGAAGAAGGGAAAGCGCCGCAGACATAAACTTTTTGGGCGCTCCGCGCGGAGCGCCAAAAGTTTATGTTTGTGGCCTTTGCTCTTCTTCGATTCTGTGCACCCCCGACATGCATGAATGGCGGCGCCGCGGCCCAGCTTCCCGGGGGGCCCGGCGCCACGGGTGCCCCTTGCCCCGAGGGGCTCCGGGGCACGCCTGGCTGGCCCGGCGGCGGCGGGCGCAGGGCCGGCGGGGGCGGAGCGCCCGTGCGAGGCCCGCCAGAGGCGGGGCAGCAGCAGCAGCGGCGAGGCAGGACGAGGAGGATTGCAGGAAGGAGGAGGAGGAGGAGGAGGAGGAGGAGGAGGAGGAGGAGGAGGAGGAGGAGGAGGAGGAGATCGAGGAGGAGTACAGGGAGGAGGAGGAGGAGGACGAGGAGGACGAGGGGATTGCAGGCAGGAGGAGGAGGAGGAGGAGGAGGAGGAGGAGGAGGAGGAGAACGAAGCGGATTACAGGAGGAGGAGGAGGAGGAGGACGAGGAGGATTGCAGGGACGAGGAGAAGGAGGAGGAGGATTACAGGGAGGAGGAGGAGGGAGGAGCAGGAGGAGGCGGAGGACGAGGATGATTACAGGGAGGAGGAGGAGGAGGAGGAGGAAGAGGAGGAGGAGGAGGAGGAGGAGGACGAGGAGGATTTCAGGGAGAAGGAGAAGGATGAGGAGGACGAGGCGGAGGAGACTTAGATTCGCGGCGGCTTGAAGCATCAGGATGAAGAGTCCGAGGAGCAAGGGCGGCGGGAGACTGTGACCAGCGTCTCCTCACTATGCAGCCTTGGCCTTGTGGCGATACTGAGAACCTCGCGTCGCATTCCAGTATCAACTCTTACCAAGGTTACCAAGGGTCACGAGCTCCCAGCTGCGAGCACGATTGTTGATGACAGCTTCCAGCACAGCAGCACGATTGCACTATGTAAGAGCACTGACAAAATCTCAGCCTTACCACTGGAACGCATTTCCCACATGACGTGCATCGTGAGGCTGTCAACCAGAACTGCCACCGCCCGCTGGGGACACACGATTAGTAATACAGCGGCGAACCACCTTGCGGACATCGTGAGAACGCATGTTATGCATTAGCCAAACTTTCTGACTATATTGCGCACGCGGTCCTGGCTCGGCGATTGTAGGCCGAATGCAAAGACTATCAGATGCTTCGGTGCCAACCACTCTTGCTGCCTCCACCTGTTCGGCCGATGCCGCAACTCGTGCCTCCCTCACAAAGCACGAGTCGCCATCCGCCCTTGTAATACTGCAAGAGACGCGTTACTTGCGTGTATTGGGGTCGCCCCCCTTCTTGCGGCACATCCGCTCCTGCCACTTTTCCAGTTTGCGGTCGTTGATTGGCCACTGATGCAGGCGACGGCTAAACCAATAAAGGTCCCCCGCCCATACGTTGCCTCGCTCAATGTGCAACGATGCCGCGAGCACTGCTTTTCAGAGGCTCGGGAACAGCACTGCCCGCAGGGCGCCTCAAATGTGGCCGCATGGGCCCAGAATGTAAAAACATGCGATTCTGAATGCGACATGTTTGCTCCGCTACCATGTGCGAACCCAAAGCTCATGAGTTCGAGATGCACGCGCGGCGGGGATGGATGCGGATACAGTCGAACCATACGATACGAAATCATGCTATAGGAGATGTTGAGGCACATTCCTCGTCGATCTTTCTTTGAGGGTCCTACGGTGCCCCAGAGCTTCTGCGGGGTTCTCAAGGTCATCGGGGATGAGAAACTTCCGTGGGACACCAGCTAGCAAGCCGGTTTCTTATGTGACGCGCCCGCTGTCATTGGCTATGCGTGCTGCGTATGGAGGGGCCGATGACCTTACAGTCGAAATCCATAATAAAGACGGGCGGTAAGAACGCAAAAGCCTTGGACGCCGAGGTTCGCACTTTTGAGCGGCGAATTGCTAGCGCCCGGAAGGGCTGAAGCAAGGACGCAAAGGTACCCGGAGGACATCCGTGCGCCCTTACTATCATTTTTGACTGTACTGGTGGGGCGAGCGCCGAACCTCTGGAGTCGCGACTTGAGCCACCCACCCGACAGAGCACGCGTGACGGCCGTGCAGCTCTGAAGGCCTGCGGCCCTCCGACCCGCTCCTCTCAGCCCGCCGAGGGCCAGCAGCAGCAGCAGCAGCAGCAACGCAGACGCGCGGACAAGAGGGGCGGCCGTGGTCACCACGCCCGGGGCCTCGGAAGGAGGGGGGGAGGGAGGGGGGAATGGGGGGGGAGGGAGGGGGGAATGGGGGGGGGTAGGGAGGGAGGGAGGGTGGGAGGGAGGGATGAGGGGGCGGGCGGGATGGAGGGGCTGCCTGGGACGCCCCCAGCGCCCACGGCACGATCTCGGTGGTGCGCGGCTCGTGGGCCCACAGGGGCGAGCGCAGTAGGAGGAGGAGGAGGAGGAGGAGCACTAGCTCACCCACCAAGAAGGGAAGGCGAAAGATAGGCCGACCCGACCCTATCCGACACCGTGGGGCGGGGCCTCCACGCCCACCGCACTCCAGCGCGATAGGAGCGGGGAGGGGGGGGGGGAAGGAGGAGAGAGGATGGACGATGAGGGGGCGGGGAGGTGCGGAGAGGGCAAGCAATGCAAGGGCCGTGCACTCTCCAGGGACGACGTGCCAGCCGCAGCCCGCCCGCCTTTTCCCGCCTCGCGCTCGCAGCGATGCGCTGCACCGCGTCCGGAGGGGGAGGGGCCGGGCGAGAAGGGGCGCCCCGACTTCGGACCTGCCGTGCCTCGGGCGATCTCGAAGGCAAGGCGGAGGTCCCCGCACTACTTTGTCAAGCTCCTCTGATGTCGGTTTCCGCCCGACTTTGCCGCCGCTGTCTCCGCCATGCCTTCGCGGAGATATCAGCCCTACTTTTTTTCAGAGAAGCGAAAATCCAACCAGCCCTCTGGGCGTCGGTGGTTTAGGGCGTTTCCTCTTCCACCCCTCCTTCTTCCCCTTCGGGGAGGCGTTTACCCCTCCCCCTACCCCTCCCGTGGACCTGGACAGGGGGTTCCGCGAATCGTCGGGGCGTCCAAAACGGCCTCGGCGAGGAAGCCAAAAACACTGGTTTTACTAAGGTTTTGGCCCCATTGGGCCTCCTGAGGGGGGGGACCCCAATTAGTGACCCCCCCCTCCTGTGATCGATCTCACCTAAGATGGCCCAAAAATAGCCCCCAAGGCTCCCAAGGGTGCCCCAAGAGGGCCCCAAGAGGTGGCCAGGAAGCCCCAAGAGGCCCCCAGGATGCCCCCAAGAGGCTCCCAAGAGACCTCCGAGAGGCCCCAAGACACCTCCCAGAGACACCCAAGATGTTCCAAGAGGCCTCGGCGAGAATGCCAAATCATTGATTTTACAGAAGTTTTAGCCACATGTTGGCCTCTTAGGGGGGGGCACTGATTAAGATGACTCCAAGAGAGCCTGGGAGAGCCCAAGGTGACTTCCAAAATGACTCAAAATATCCCAAGATGACCCATAATGGCTCCCACGATGCTCCAAGATGCCCCGAAACCGCTCCAAGACGGCTCCAAGTGGCCAAATAGCTCCCCCAGAAGAACCCGAAGAGGCCAACACCTTAAGGCAATCTATGTGTTTGGCTTTTTCGCTTTTTCGCTTCCGATGGCCATCAGATGCCTCAAGATGGCTCCAAGATGGCCCAAGAGGGCTCCAAGAGAGGCTCAAGAGAGCCCCAAGACTGCCCCAAGAGCGCCTAAGAGCGCTCCAAGAGCGCCCCAAGAACGCCCCAATAGGCGATTTTTGGGGCTCCCGAAGGGCAGCGCTAACTAATGTTCGCTGCTTGTTTCATCGATGTCCTCCAAGATGGCCCCAAAAGCGCTCCCAAGGCTCCCAAGAGCGCTTCAAGAGGGCCCCAAGAGGCGCCCAAGAGGCCTCCAAGATGCTCCCAAAAGACGCTCCCCCCAAGACGCTCCAAGAGGCCTTCACTGGGGGACCCTTCCTCTGCGTGCTGCCCACTTCCCTGATCGAGGCAATTCCTCTGGGCATCGTTTCTGGATGGGCTGTTTTTTTGGGGAGTCAGCAGCCGCGAGCGAAAGCGCACGCGGCGAGTCGAGTCAGAGCGGGCCGCGCAAAGACGAATTACTTAAAGCGGCGGGGCCTCAGGCGCCACCACGACGGGCGGGGCCGGCGGGTGGGGGTGCAAGCTGCGGCTGCCAGGGGCTGAGCCAGGGCAAGGCGCAAATTGGCCAACCAGGGTCGGGGCGCGGCCAAAATGGCGCGGGCTGCACACCAGGGTGGGGCCAGGGAAGCGGCGAGTCGGTATCTGCGACGACTGCAAAGAGTGCCGAACGGCCCGAACTGGTGCATTGAGTGGCGCCACCAAAGTCGCACAGTCGGTCCCCAAAGGGGAAGCACTGATTCTGGTGGGGTTACTTTTTTTGGTCGGCGGCTCCGAAGCGGCGGACAGGGAACGGTAGGCGTCGTCTGGGCCAGCAGGCGAAGCTCATTAACTACAACAGGCAATGCACCTGCAGTAAAAACCCGCAGTACGCGAGTATGCACATGCAGTAAGCAAAATGCTCGATTAGACGCTGCGGAAAAGTCGCCCTGTCGGCGCCAGTCCGCGCAGCCAGCCTATCCGATTAGACAGGTAGGGCCAAAGCGACACGCTGAATGCTGAACCACTCAGCGCGAGGTACCACCGCCGTGCGCGGGGTAGGCAAAGACAAGGCAGGGACCTACAGAGCTCTCACTCCACGATCCACACCGCTGCCCATGGTGGGGCCGGTGCGTCAGCCATCGCACCGAAACCAGATACCCCTGGTGGGGTTACGCGAAGCGTCTAGAATTTCCGCCCTATTGTTTCGCATCGTCTGGGGCGCATCTCCGACGCACTTCGACTTTGGAACATCAGCCAATGTACCTGGGACCCGAAGTCAGGGTGAGGGGGGGTACTGGACGAGAAAGATGTCCTAACACGATTGGTTCAGAATGCGTTCCAGGAATTCCCAGATCCCTCGCTTCAGGAGCCCGTGTGGAACAAGCAAGGAAGATCGGACACGAGGGTAACACCTGGGAAATCTTGGAACGCGCCACTCTCATGACTTCTCACCCGTCTGAGATAGGGTTAGGTCGGGCATCTCACACGACAGGCGGGTTTTGGACGAAAAATAAAATTATAGCCGGAGTGCAGTATCCCCAAACAGGGTTTTTAGACCCATTGGCTCCTGCTCCTGCTCCTCCTCCTCCTCCACCTCCTCTTCATCCCGAACGGCATCTCGGAGCCCAGAGTTGCGAGGATGTCTCCAGCGTAACGGGCTGGACCACCTCGCGCGCGGCATTTCGGACCCCAGAGTTGCGACGATGTCTCGGGCTAAACGTGCTGCGAGGAAGTCTCAGGCGAAACAGGCCGGACCACCTCGAGCGCGGCGTCTCAGAGCTCCGAGTTGCGGGGGCCTCCTGGGGCCTCCTGGGACCTCCTGGTGACCTCCTGGGGCTTCCTCCTGGGCCTCCTGTGGCCTCCTGGACCCCACCTGGGGCTTCCTGAAGCCTCTTGGGGCTCCCAGGGGGGGATATCTAACATGTGGCCGTCGGGGCCCTGGAAAATGGGGGAGGGGGGCCACAAGAGCAGGAAAAATCAACGAATCGACACCGGATGTGTATTGACTTGACACGTTCTGATAGGGGGCCTCCTGGGAGCCTCCTGGGAATCTCCTGCGGACCCCTGGGGCCTGTCCTGAGCGTCCTGCGGCCTCCTAAAGCTCTCTGGGGCCTCTTGGGAGCCACATGTGGTCTTCTGGGTCCCCAGGCTGGACCACCTCTTGCGCAGCATCTGAGAGCTCAGAGTTGCGAGAATGTCTTGTGCGAAACGGGCCGGACCACCTTGCGCACGGCATCTCAGAGCTCAGAGTTGCGAGGATGTCTCAGGCGAGATGGGCCGGACCACCTCGCGCAGGGCATCTCGGAGCCCAGAGTTGTGAGGATGTCTCCAGCGTAACGGGCTGGACCACCTCTTGCGCGGCATCTGGGAGCTCAGGGTTGCGACGATGTCTCGGGCTAAACGTGCTGCGAGGAAGTCTCAGGCGAAACGGGCCGGACCACCTCGAGCGCGGCGTCTCCGAGCTCCGAGTTGCTGGGGCCTCCTGGGGCCTCCTGGGACCTCCTGGTGACCTCCTGGGGCTTCCTCCTGGGCCTCCTGTGGCCTCCTGGACCCAACCTGGGGCTTCCTAAAGCCTCTTGGGGCTCCCAGGGGGGGATATCTAACATGTGGCCGTCGGGGCCCCCCAAAATAGGGAGGGGGCCACAAGAGCAGGAAGAATCAACGAATCGACACCGGATGTCTATTAACTGGACACGTTCTGATAGGGGGCCTCCTGGGGCCTCCTGGGAATCTCCTGGGAATCTCCTGCGGACCCCTGGGGCCTGTCCTGGGCGTCCTGCGACTTCCTGAAGCTCTCTGGGGCCTCCTGGGGCTCCCAGGGTCCCAGGGGGGATATGTAACATGTGGTCTTCTGGGTCCTCAGGCTGGACCACCTCTTGCGCAGCATCTGAGAGCTCAGAGTTGCGAGAATGTCTTGTGCGAAACGGGCCGGACCACCTTGCGCACGGCATCTCAGAGCTCAGAGTTGCGAGGACGTCTCAGGCGAGATGTGCCGGACCACCTCGCGCAGGGCATCTCGGAGCCCAGAGTTGCGAGGATGTCTCAGGCGAAACGGGCTGGACCACCTCGCGCGCGGCATAGAGTTGCGACGATGTCTCGGGCGAAACGTGCTGCGAGGAAGTCTCAGGCGAAACAGGCCGGACCACCTCGAGCGCGGCGTCTCAGAGCTCCGAGTTGCGGGGGCCTCCTGGGGCCTCCTGGGACCTCCTGGTGACCTCCTGGGGCTTCCTCCTGGGCCTCCTGTGGCCTCCTGGACCCCACCTGGGGCTTCCTGAAGCCTCTTGGGGCTCCCACGGGGGGAAATCTAACATGTGGCCGTCGGGGTCCCCGAAAATGGGGGAGGGGGGCCACAAGAGCAGGAGAAATCAACGAATCGACACCGGATTTGTATTAACTGGACACGTTCTGATATAGGGGGCCTCCTGGGAGTCTCCTGGGAACCTCCTGCGGACCCCTGGGGCCTGTCCTGGGCGTCCTGCGGCTTCCTGAAGCTCTCTGGGGCCTCCTGGGGCTCCCAGGGTCCCAGGGGGATATGTAACATGTGGTCTTCTGGGCCCCCAGGCTGGACCACCTCTTGCGCGGCATCTGGGAGCTCAGAGTTGCGAGAATGTCTTGTGCTAAACGGGCCGGACCAACTTGCGCACGGCATCTCAGAGCTCAGAGTTGCGAGGATGTCTCAGGCGAGACGGGCCGGTGTCTCGGGCAAAACGCGCTGCGAGGAAGTCTCAGGCGAAACGGGCCGATATCTAACCTGTGGCCGCTTGGGCCTCTCAAAATAGAGGGGGGGGCACAAGAGCAGGAAAAATCAACGAATCGACACCGGATGTGTATTAACTTGACACGTTCTGATAGGGGGCCTCCTGGGGCATCCTGGGAGCCTCCTGGGAATCTCCTGGGACCCCTGGGGCCTGTCCTGGGCGTCCTGCGGCCTCCTGAAGCTCTCTGGGGCCTCCTGGGGCTCCCAGGGTCCCAGGGAGGATATGTAACATGTGGTCTTCTGGGCCCCCAGGCTGGACCACCTCTTGCGCGGCATCTGGGAGCTCAGAGTTGTGAGAATGTCTTGTGCCAAACAGGCCGGACCACCTTGCGCACGGCATCTCAGAGCTCAAAATTGCGAGGATGTCTCAGGCGAGACGGGCCGGACCACCTCGCGCAGGGCATCTCAGAGCTCAGAAGTTCGAGGATGTCTCAGGCGGGCTCCCAGGGTCCCAGGGAGGATAATTGTGTATCATGTGGTCTTCTGGGCCCCCAGGCTGGACCACCACTTGCGCGGCATCTGGGAGCTCAGAGTAGCGAGGATGTCTCAGGCGAGATGGGCCGGACCACCTCGCGCAGGGCATCTCGGAGCCCAAAGTTGTGAGGATGTCTCCAGCGTAACGGGCTGGACCACCTCGCGCAGTGCATCTCAGAGCTCAGAAGTTCGAGGATGTCTCATGCGAAACGGGCCGGACCACCTCTCGCGCGGCATTTCCGAGGTCAGAGTTTCGAGGATGTCTCAGGCGAAACGGGCCGGACCACCTCGCGCAGGGCATCTCAGAGCTCAAAGTTTCGAGGATGTCTCAGGCGAAACGGCCCGGACCACCTCTCGCACGGCACCTCGGGGCTCAGAGTTTCGAGGATGTCTCAAGCGAAACGGCCCGGACCACCTCTCGCGCGGCGTCCCGGAGCGCAACTTTTCGAGGATGTCTCAGGCGAGTCGGCCAATCCCGGCCAACTCAGAAACGAGAGTTGTGAGGATGTCTCAAGCGAAACGGCCCGGACCATCAAATTTTTGTGAGGATGTCTCTGTTCCGACTCCCCTCGACCGGAGTTAGCTTCTATCACAACAGCACCCCGTTCAGCAAGCTGTTTGGGGAAAAGCTCAAAACATATACAAAAATTGTCAAACATATAAACATAGTAAAACAATCGCACCCAAACTATATTTTGACTATTGTTGAATGCTCCTGCTGTTTAGGGACAAGCCCGACTTAGAGATAAGGGAAAGCCGATAGGGGCAGAGCTTTCTTGGTGTGCGGCCGCCAGAGAGCCGGACGGCGGTCGAACAGCGGCGGGGCGCGAGAGGCCCGGGGGGAGATGGAGCCACACTCGGGGGCGGCCACGAGGGGGGGCGCAGATCATGGCCGGCGGCACGTGCACGGCCCAGGGGGCCAGGGACGTAATGAAATAAGAAGAGGCGCCGCGAAATCTGGGGAAAAATTATGGCCCCCGCTCTGATATCCCCCGGGCTCTAGTCATCACCCCCCTTTCTGCCGCCCCCGACACACTCAGGCCATGAACGTCTTCGCGGGCGTTGCGGGGTGCAAGGTCAGCGGCGCAGAGCGAACACGATGTCGGAGCCGCACATGGAGCCCGATGGGGGAAACCCAGCGAGGACGAGGGTGAAGCGTGCAACGCCCGATGGGGTAGAACATGGGCGTTGTGGATGTATGCGCGTCCGCGACCTCGGCACGTTTGGGGCGTGTCAGCATGCCCGTCAGCTGCGTGGTGGGGCTTCTGCAGTGCTCTGGGCAGCGCGGAGCTGGAGGACCGAAGTACAGCTTCGGTCTCGTGACGCGTGCGGAGCTTGGCTGCGACGGCAAGGTGAGACGGCGCTCCTCTGGACAGCAGGGATAATCAGGGAGGGCCCTCGGCTGGCGAAAGGCGCCAGGACGGCCCACTGGTTTTCCTTGTGCAGGGACCTCCCCGACCTGTGGAGACGTTGCAGCGCAGAAGACCGCGCTCTCGCGCAGAAAACAGCACACTCCGAGTCGCCCGCTCAGATTTGGGGGGGGGTCGACCGCGTGAGGGTATAGGGATGGGTTGTCCTTCGCGGAGAGTGGGGGGGAGGAGGAGGAGGAGGAGGAGGAGGAGGAGGAGGAGGAGGAGGAGGAGGAGGAGGAGGAGGAGGAGGAGGAGGAG